ATTCATCAATGGGTGAGATCAAATTGATTGGTCAAATTCGATGAGTTGTGAACTTGAGAATGAATCGAGTAGAGAACATGAATTCATGTCGAGAACCGTCACCTTGAAAATGGGTAGAGTGACTACTTAAGTATTTTATATTGAACAGTTAAAATCTGATCTCAGTATTTAGTGATGGCTAAACTTCGATATTTGTGATTAGTTTACAGGACCGTTGAAGAAAATGATATTTAAGTTAGTGAGAATAATTAGCAAGAAAACGGCCATTTATACTCGTACCTAATTATCGGACATCGGACGGAGATAAAATACAAATATGGTAGGTCAGAGGAAAGTATTATAGATTTATTGACTTCTGTGATCTTATATATTCCACAAGTTCAGTCTTTTACCTTTAGTGGAAAAAGCAGAGACCAATAATTATATTGGGTGGTCAAAGGTCGAGTAAACAGGATCTAATAATTGAAACTTGAATAATATATGTACGATCAAGTCTCTATGGTAACTCCATAAAGTATTAGAACTTAATAACGATAATTATAATAGTTTTGAGCTTAATTGTAATTACAATAAAATTTTGTACTTAGTTGTAATTACTATAAAAGTTGTAAACTTAATTATAATTGTAATTGAAGTTCTAAAACTAAACTTGTAATGGAATGTAAACTAATTGGATTTGAACTTTAATTAAAATTCCTACTTGGTAGTTAGAACTCTTATTTGAATGTAAAATTATTATTGTATAAGGAGTGTTACTGTTCCATCTCTATAAATAGAGATTAGCTGGAAACTAGACATCCTATGAGATTGTACAATAATCATAATACATAATTCCATAGTGTTCAAATTTGGAGAGAGATAATTATTTTTCTTGTTTTATTCAATTGTCCAGTTCAAGAATTATTTTTTGGTTTAATTAAAGAAGGTACCAACCACGGGTGTAGTTTTAGCTTTGGAGAATGCCATAAAAGGCTTGGATGTTTGAAGCATCAAATTCTTGGAATTAAAAAGCTGGAAGTTCGTGATCCAAAAAGCTAGAAATTCATGATTCAAAATTAATTCAAGAATTGACCATCGAATTTGGGTAAAAAAATTCGAATCCTTAATTCTTGATATAACATACACGTGAATATCGAAACGATCTTGTTTATTAAATTAATGAAGTTTTTTTTAATTTTTAAATAATTCCGCTTCCGCATTCGAACACCTACCTCTACAATATAAACACATAGGTAAATCTTTTACCAAAAAAATTAAGTAATAGTGCAATACCAGTTCGTCCTTGTCCATCTCATCAAAGAAAATTTAAGATGAAGCAGTGAATAGTCATCTCAAAATTAAACCAAGAACTTCATACTGTGTAGTTTTTTGTTTAATGGTAAAATATTGCTCTACGATTAAGGTATAGCTTCCATGGTTTATTCTCTTTGGCATAAATCCGAAATGTTTTTTTTAATTTTTAAATAATTCCGCTTCCGCATTCGAACACCTACCTCTACAATATAAACACATAGGTAAATCTTTTACCAAAAAAATTAAGTAATAGTGCAATACCAGTTCGTCCTTGTCCATCTCATCAAAGAAAATTTAAGATGAAGCAGTGAATAGTCATCTCAAAATTAAACCAAGAACTTCATACTGTGTAGTTTTTTGTTTAATGGTAAAATATTGCTCTACGATTAAGGTATAGCTTCCATGGTTTATTCTCTTTGGCATAAATCCGAAATGAATCTCTGAACTGTTCCTTTTTCAATCTCTCCAAAAAGTATCATTGTGTGACTCATTAACCTATTTCCTTATTGGTTAGCATAATTATAAACAGCTCTTTTATTTCTATAAATGGATATTGACATCCATTCCCTACTTGCGCACCATCTTTTCAGTTGTACTGATTTTGTTAAATAACATTGCCAAACAAGATATGCTAACTTCCCCAAAAACTACTTCCGAAATTCAATAGAATTACTGACAGGTGCCTAATAGGTTCTCCTATCCAATAATTGTGACCTAATGTTAATGCAACAATCTTCCAAAATAGCATCTTTACCTCTTCTGTATATCTTCATCATTTATCAAAACTCTCGGTCCTTGTCCTTAATGCGCTTGACACATAAAAAGTCTCATTTCATTTTCCATCCCACTATTGTAACTATCCTATGCACTTTTTCTCTCCTTTAATGTCTACACAGTTATAGAACTTGTCATATGCTCTTAACATTGCCTCTTAGACTGACTTTTTAGCTTTCTCTTGCTGATATGTAATATAGTTTTCAAGATTATTGACACCCAGTCTTCTGTTATGTCTGGATACAAGCTCAGTGTCTTGATTACACCAAGAACATTGTTGCTGTACTACTATAGCTCCTTAGCATTGGGCCCTCCTCCTTCAGTTCTTCCTAAAACCTCAGTCATTGTCTTCTTTGAACAGTCACTCATTCTGTACCGCAGAATGGTTGGTCTATCTTCCAACTTCTAAGTAGCTTCTCTAAACACCATATATTTGAATGAGCTCAACTCTTAACTGTTTCTTATAATTATTATTACACTATCATACAATTTTAGAACATATTCAAGTTGATGTCAAGCATTAATAGTATTCAGAACTGGACAAACCAAAATGGAAAAATAGATGATGGCAGACCTCCATACACCAATAATTCAATTATTTGGGGCAATTGAAATGACTTCACACTTGTTAGAAATTTCAGCCTATTTTAGCAGTGTACATTAGTTTGCTTATGCAATAGACCAGGTCCAAAATGACTTTATTTGCAATTCTGTAACAAATAATAGTATCACTTTTAGCATATGACTTCATAAGCCTCCAAGAAGAAACATTAAATTTACCAAGTGCCAATTGCAGTAGAAAGTACAATAATCCTAATGAATGGTTGTAATCCAGAATAATACCTGAAAATATATCTCCAATTCAAATGATGGGTTGGTGAAGGGAAAATAAGTGTCAATCCAGCGCATTTCCACACCAGCTGGAAAATTCCAAACATCAATGCTGAAGAGGAATTGAAAACCATTGAATCCGACAAATGCAAATAGGCACAGTAGTATGTTAATAATTTGGAGGCACATTGATGGTTTTTCTGTGACAGAGTCGTGTGAGCTATGTTCTAGACTTGGTTCTCTGGTCACGTGGCCGTATAATTGCACAGATATTCAGTTAGGTTTTGGAAACCATTCTTCTCAGTTCTATTTTTCTCTTCATTCCCATCTTCCTTTCTATCCCTTTTTCTATGTGTGAGGAAAAGGAGGGGTGGGGATGGGGGTGGGGTGTAGTAATGATATAGAATCAACTAGTTATGAACATACATATAGAATCAGTTCACAGTGCAATTTAGATCTAGATAAAGTTAACTATCAGCATAACGCACCATCACATGTAGACCCTTCCGACGGTAAATCTAACTGGATTCCGAATATTGCATAAAATGGATTCCAAATGTAACATTTAAAGTTTAAATCAAGCTTTACCAAATAAATGGCGTGCTAACCCCTCAAGGCATTTCTTTAGATCCTCTACAGCATATGATGTGGCATCATTGCCAGATGCCTTCCAATTGGCTGGCGTAAAAACTCTAACACCTTCCATCTGAATATTGTACAAAGGACAGCATCGAAGAAAAAGAAACAACTTGAGCATTGAAATTAGACAGAAAAATATGATTATCAGATATTAATACAAACCTGATGGAATACAGGGTAATGAGTTGAATCAATAGAATCTCTGCGGTATACATCTCCAGTGACAAGGAAATGAGTATGCCCTCCTCGCAATAACTGAGCTTGATGAGCACTAGTATGGCACCTCCAGACAGTTTCAGAATCCACATAATATGTATCATTATAACTCCTGCTCACATGATCAGCAGCTACCAATACATCATCAAAGTTCTGCAAGAACAAGATCGACTATCAAAATACAACAATCAACCAACAAAATCAAACGACCAATATGGCAATACGAGATTATCAACCTTTAGCATGAAGCCGAAGAATAAGAATATAATTGTCTTCGTAATTCCAGATATGGTGCTTCCATGGACAGTATTACATTTGGTTCTTCTTTAGGTTCTCACAAGGTCTCTAGAGTTAAAATCATTTATTTCAATTAATCACATTTGGAAGTGAATATACATCTTTGTATATTTGATTCCTCGGTCATGTTTACATCAAGTTATGAGTCACTCTATGTGTTCTGTATATTTGATTCCTCGGTCATGTTTACATCAAGTTATGAGTCACTCTATGTGTTCTTAGAAATAAAGAGATGAAGTCCAGTTGTCATGAATTGGAAAGTGTTTACTCAGTTCCCAAGACTCTTTGGTACGCAAGCAAAGTCATATTGGAGATTTTGTGTCCCCTAGATACTTTAAGTTTAATGTGTGTTGTTCAAGTCAATTGACATAGTTATTTCATAAAGTGTCCTCATTCTAAATATCCTGCCTGCTGCCTAGCTCCCCATCTCTTCCATGCTAGCATTAATTAAGGAAAAAAAGCATTAATTAAGGAGGGGAAAAAATCACCTAAATCCTTTAGAGTTTTTTCCTTTTTAGCATTAATTGTCGTTTGATTGTTATAAGCTTAAAGAACTATCAGCACAGCAGGGGACTTATTAACGAACCCTATTAAAACCAAAATAATATATTAAATAAGAAAATGGTAAACTTTCATAGGGAGAAAATACCAAACATTTGATCACCACTATCAAAATAAAATCATACATAGGAGCATTGGGAGTTCATATGACATGTTGATTAAGAAGGAGAAAACCAAGTTTCAAATTCATTTATGGACCAATTGACCTACCGCAATAGTCGAAACTACTGGGCACAAATCATCAAACTTGTCAAATTTGTTGGGATAATTAGTGTCAAAATAGTCATAGATTGCATTCTTCAGGATGCCAAGGGGATGCTGATCCCTCCTGTGAAGCTGCATTCCAAGCTTTGAGAATATTGAATCAGGAACATTTTTTGTCGGGTCATCTCTTACTATTTCTGCAAATTTAATCATCCAAAGTTCCATAAGTTGACAAACGATGATTCGAGAAATATGGCATGATCACACAACCATTAAATAAATGGGAACAAATATAAATATATGAAAAAATCTACTCCATTTTTGACAACCCCCCAAATTCAGCACATGCATAAATTGAAAAATTTTCAACACAAGAAGCAAAACCTTCCATTAAGCCATAATCAATCGGCGAATACACAGAACACATATCCTAGAATAAAAGGTGCTCATTCTCTTTAACTTTTATTCCACTCACTTCAAAATAACAATGAGTAAAGCTATTTGTAAGTGTTGCTTTAATGAGTAAAGCTATTTGTAAGTGGTGCTTACCCATTATTCACTATCAATTGCACAAAATCCACCTTTTTAAGTCAAAGATATTCAAGTTTTCCGAAACAATAATCAATCCAAATATTGGATTTGCAGAAATACCATCTAGAAAAAAAAATCCGATAGGGTAAGTCATAGCAGAACAACAAGATACGAACTTTCATAGTGATTACAGCGAGAAATTAATCCAAATTTTAAAAATATAAAACACCCACAACAAATTCATGTACTACAGCAAAAAGAGGCAATCCAAATATTGGATTTGCAGAAATACCATCTAGAAAAAAAAATCCGATAGGGTAAGTCATAGCAGAACAAACAAGATACAAACTTTCAAAGTGATTACAGCGAGAAATTAATGCGATCCAAATTGTAAAAATATAAAACACCCACAACAAATTCATATACTACAGCAAAAAGAGGCTATCACAAAGTGAAGCAATTGAAGAAAAATGTAATTTCTAGAAGTGGGCATGTTACCGTCTTTGGCAATCTTGACGCCACCAAGCTTGAGAACTGATGCCACCGGTTGCCTCCACTTCTTGTGGAGCTGGAATTTGTCTGAAGGAAAAGCAGAAGTTGTGGAGAAAGAAG